TGCTGTTAACCTGATGGAGGGAGGGAGAGTCCGAGTGAGAATGAAGTTATAAGAAGGGCTGCTGTTCGGGCTGAGGCCCGGGGGCTTTCTCAAGCGCAGGACCCCTGGGGTCAAGCTGAGGAAGCCCCCTGTCCTCACCCCTCAGACAGTGGAAACCCCCCAAGGGGGCCCAAGGAACTCCAGGTCCACGCCTGCTGCAGCCAGGCGCCCTCTCGGGGCAGCCAGGCCGGGAGCCCAGCCGCACAGGCTGGCGCCTCCAAAGCAGGGGGAGTCGGCTAACGAACCACGCCGTGTTTGTTTAATAACAAATGACCCTGAGCAGGCAGGGAGTGTCTTATCGGCAAGGATCTCCAGCAAGGCCAATGCCATCGCCTGATGTCGGGGAGCGCTGGGAACTATTAGCTTAATTAGCAGTTCCTGCAGGGTCAGCAAAAAACTGCTGGTGGAACGGCCCAGGAACCAGCGTGGCTGCCAGAGATGGCTAGGCGGGTCCCTGGGTGACGAGGGCCTCGTGAGGGACAGGAACCCGGAGGTGAGAACAAGGTGCCACAAGATAGCACAGGCGTCACCCACTGCAGCTCTCCACCTGCGGGCGTTAAGGACGTCTCCGGGCCCCTGGGGGTGAGCCTGTGCTCCCATGTGCCCATTGCACAGGTGGGCAAGTCGAGGCCTGGGAGGTAGCACTCACAATACCCAGGGCAGACGCCACAGGCTGAGGCGAGAGAAGCCACCACACCTTCCTCGAGCAGCCCGAGCAGCCTGGCAAGGGGCTAACAGCCTGCCGAGTTCACATCCCAGCTCCAGGTGGCTAGTTCCTTGACTGCTCTGTGCCACCTGCCCACAGAGGCCCAAGGCCACCGCCCCAGCCACCCCTCCAAAGGAGAAGCCGGCCCTTAGGAGGCAGGGGTCAGTCCTTGGTCCCGAGGCACTGCATGACCTCGGACACAGGATCCCATGGGTCCCGTGGACAGTCCCTTTGGCCCTTCACACCCTGACACCTATTCCAGGTGCCGCTTCTGGAAGCGGGAAGGCCAGCCAGCTCTACCAGGGGCTGTGATACCTGCCCTCTCACGGCCAGGCCCAGCCACACTGGCCCCAGGCCAGCCTCTGCCTCGTCCTGCCCAAGGGGGCTCAGGGCCGGGGGCGGCTCAGCTGGTGCTGGGGAGGGGGCCGCTTCCGCTCCCCCTGGGAGCCTGCTGCAGCCAGGCCCTCTGCCGCCGACACCCTGGGGTAACTCGTTCCAGATGTGGCCTGGGGAAGACAGCAGCCCTGCACCCTGCTGAGGGAGCTGGGAAGGGCCTGAGATAATGTGGAATTCCTGAGCCTGTGCCAAGGCCCGTGGACCGGGAGGGGCGGCGAGCGTGCAGGAGAGGCCACCCCCCTCCCCTGCCTGTGCCAGAGACCACCCAGGCAGCACCAATGCTGGAGACACCCCCCAGGACCACAGGGCCCCCCAAGGCCTCCCTGCTGGGGCCCTGGCGTCTGTGAGCCTCCGGCTCCCATCTGTGACCGGGCTCAGAGCCTCTTCCACGGCTGCTGCTGAAGCCCCAGCGCTGGCTGAGATGCTGACACAGTGTCAACCCCACCCCCAGAAAGGAAGGGGTGAAAGCAGGCGCCTGACAAAATCCTACAACCTTAGGGCTCCCGCCAAGACAGAAGTACACGCCTAGAGTTTGCTCACCTGACCCCTGACCCCTGACCCCCCACCGCTCAGGCCACCCATGGCTCACGTGGAGGGCCTGCCTTCATCCCTGTACCCGGACCCCAGTTCTATTCCCCACCTAACACTGAACAGCCTTTACCATGAGAAATGCCACTCAGATGCTGTGGGACCATCCCCCGCGCAGGATGACCTGGACCGGCCACAACCCTCTCCTGCCTCAGTTTCCTCATCTGTAACAGGGAGGGTGGGTGGGAGAGGAAGAGGGATTGGAGCTCCTCAACTATCATGTTTGAAAAGCTAGGGTCACAAACCAGGGCCAAGAGGCCAGCCCCGGCCCTGGGCGCAGGGAGCCCACACTCCCAGCTCCCTCGCTCCCAACCCGCCAATGCCAGCGGCCCAGCTTGGTCCCAGACAGCCCCAACGTCACCACAGGCAGGGCTGGCACAGCACGGCCAACAGATGGCCTTCCAAACCCAGAGCACCCCCGGCTGCGGCCCCTCTGCCCCTGCCTGGCAGAGCCTACATGGGGGTGGGGTCCGGGCCCAGGGCTGCTCCTTCTCCAGCCACACCTCCGCCAGGAAGCCACCCAGAGGGCATGGGGTGGGTCAAGGCCAGGAGGGCAGAGCCCCAACGGGAATTTTGACCAGCCCTGTCCGAGCCTCAGCTCCCACAGCTGTAGACTGTCCTCTGGGGTTATTGGGACATGTAAAGAGGCCATACCTAAGACAGGCGGGCGCCCAGACGGGAGGCTGTCTACTGTCAGCAGACACCAACCCCAGACGGTTCCCGGAGCCTCTCGGCGGGTCATCTGGCCTGCCCTCACCCGGTGGGGGCCTCACATTACGCAGGGGTTCCCGGTGCCCACAGCGGATGCTCACTGGGCCTCCCGCACTTTATGGATGCACAAGCTCCCGCCCCACAGTTGCTGCACCTGGACCTGACCACCCGGACTTCGCAGGCAAGACGTTGTAGACCTCGGACACTCAGCTCAGCTGAAAGTGTCTCAATTCAGCTTGAGATTTAGGGGGAAAAGATCATTCGCATCGCCACGGTGGAAAAGTCTAGAAAAGCAGGCTGGAGGAGGGGCAGAGGGGAAAGGAGGAAACCCAGTGTGGGTGACGGGTGCCTCCCCAGCTCCCACACCCACTGCACAAACCACGATCTTTCTCAGGATGGTTCTTTTTTCTAGTTAAAAAGTTCTCCGGGGCCGGCCGAGTGGCACGTTGGTTAAGAGCTGGTTTGGGACGCCAGAGGGCTCCGGTTCGGATCCCACATATGAGGGCCAGTGACACTGCCCTCTACAGCTAAGATGCTGAACAACAGCTCAACCTGGAGCTGGGCTGCCGTGAGGTGATGGC